GGGGGGGAAAACCCCCCCCCCCCCCCCCCGCTGCGTGCCGCGCCGCCAACCGAACAGAACAGGCCATGAACAGAGCAGAGCCCGCGCCCGCCCGCCCCTCTGCTGCCGCAGGCGCCCTGGAGGAGGCGGCGCTGCTGATCCAGCTGACGGCGGCGCCTGAGGGGCCCTGGTCCCTGGACCAGCTGGGCTGGGCGCAGGCACTGGCAGAGGCGGTGAGCCAGGGGGGGGCCCGGCGGCCGCGAGCGCCGGCCGCCCAGCCGCCGCCGCCGCCGCTGCCGCTCCCTGCCCGCTTGCTGGGACCCTCGCCCGCTGCGGCTGCCGGGCTGCTGCTCGCCGACCGTCCTCCCTCCTTCCCTCCCTCCCTTGCTCAGGCTGGAAACTACTTTTGGAACCATGCCACCTACCCCGACGCCGCGCTGGAGCCGCTGCTGGAGGCGTGGCGGCAGCAGCCGGCGCCGCCGCCCGCCGCGCCGCCGCCCGCCGCCTGCCGCGCCGTCGTCGCCGCCTTGCTGGCCCACCCGGTGCTGCAACTGGCAGAGGGGGCCACCACGGTGAGAGCATCCCAGGCTGCCGCCGCGCCTGGCGCCGGTCGCTGCCGCCGCGCGCCGCGGCCCTGCCGTCGGGGGCCCGTGATACATTACAGTATACAGGCAGCCGTCGCGCTGGGTACCTTGTGCATGCCCGGTGCCCTGAGCTCCCTCCCGACCTGGCAGCACGCGGCCGCCCTGGGAGCAGGCGCTGCTGTGCCCTCGCCCTGCTCGCAGCCTCCCTGCCCTGCTGCCTGCATCCCATCCCATCCTGGCCTGACCTGCCCCCGCTCCGCTCCCCACACCCACACGCCCCGCCGTGCCTGCAGCTCCAGGCTGGCGCTGAGCTGGCAGGGGTGCTGCAGGCGGAGTGCCTGGCCACCGTGGGCATCAGCGCTGACCTCACAGCCAGGCTGCGCACCAGCGCATGCACGTGAGGCGGGCGGCGGCGCGCGGCGGCGGCGTCTGCCGTGGCGGCCGTAGACGCCACACCCGGCCTGCCCTGCAGTGTGCTGCCGCGTGGGAGTTTTGGGGGCATGCCCCGAGCGTGGCAAACCGAGCACCAGCCTCACGGCCGCGCCTGTGCCCGCCCTCCCTCTCGCCGCAGGAGCGTGGTGCTGGCTGCCGCCCCCGCCGCCACGCGCTGGAGCCCCGCCACCCACCGCTACTTCCCGCCCGCCTTCAAGCAGGCCGTGCGCCTGCTGCTGCTCACCAACCACCGCCTGCTGGCGCAGAGCCGAAGCAGCGGCGCCGGCGCCGGCGTCGGCAGCAGCGCCGGCAGCGGCGCCGGCAGCGGAAGGGGCGGGAGGCACGTAGGCGCCGCCACAAAGGCGGTCCTGTCTCGCCGGGCGATGAGGGAACTGCTGGATGGGACGCCGGCTGCGGAGGAGGCTGCGGGCCCCCCCTGATGTTCATGCCCTATTGGGCCAGTCCTGGCGATATGGCAGAGAGCGGCGCCGCCAGCGCCGGCAGGAGGCGCAGCCTGCCCATGCCTTCGCTCAAGGCCGGCGGCGGCTGCGACCTGGGCGACAAGCCCAAGGGCGCGGGTGGGGAGGGCGGGAGGCCCGGCAGCGCGGCCGCGGTGGCGTCGGCGGGCAGCGGCGTCGGCGCCAGCGGCGGCAGCGGCGACAGCAGCGGCACAGCCTTCAGCTGCGCCGAGCTGGAGGATGCTTGTAGCGATGCCTGCAGCAGTGCAGCCGCAGACGGGGGCGAGGACTCCAGCCGCGCCTGCCCCGCCAGCCCTGTGGGCGACGGTGCGGCCGCTGCCGCTGCTGGCACCAGCTCCGCTGCCGACGGCTCGCGACTGGGCGGCGCGGCTGGCGGTGCGGCCAGGGGCCTGCCTCGTGACGCCGTGCTGGAGGTGGCACGCCACCTGGGCGCCGCCCCGCTGTCCTTCTGGCTGCGCCAGCCGCAGGGCCAGCCGCCGCTCCCCGGCAGGCTGGCTGCCCCGCGGGCGCCACCGCCCTCGGCCGCGTGAAGGCGGCCGGCCGCTGGAGTGGCGGCACGCCTTGCCTGCACCAAGCAAGCCAGGCCTGCCGGCTTGGCAGCCGCTTCATTGCGTGCTGCTGCGATCCAGCATCACGATGTATACCCCGCCCGCCGCAGGCAGCATTCTATCTGATACCATGCCATCCCCCTGTGTACCACGTGTGCCCGCTCTCTACCTGCTCCTCTTCCCCGCTTGATTCCAATGTGTATACCAACCACCCCGCGCCTCCTCCCCTGCCATGTTCTCTATCTGCTCTGCTCTGTTCTCCTGTGCCATGTGAGTGTACAGCCCCTGAGCCGCTGCGCTTTGCAGCCTCCCTCGTGAGCGTGACCGCCAGCCCCCGCATCTCAGCACCCCGCTGGTTGTGCTGCTCCGCTCGCCGACGGGGCGGCCGCCAGTGTGGAGTTCCCATCATGTGATTGCTCGAGGGATACGATGGGTTGGAAGAGAGCAGAGCATTTGGCCGGAATTGGGAGGGAATCAGCAGCATGCCCTGTGCCGCCAGCGCACGCTTGAGCGGGATGGCGGGAGCAAAGAGGCCATGCTGCGCTGCCGTGAGCTGCTCGAGTTTCGATTGCCAACTTAATTGGCGCATCGCTGCGCATCAGAAGAGGCACTCCACACGCAAGCACGCTGAGCACAGCTTCCTTTTGCCATCAAACTCTCCTCCCCCGATCTCCACGCTGGCCCTCCCCTGCCTGAGCAGAGCAGCAGTGCGGCTCCTGCCAGCTGCACGCAGTAGAGGGCGGTGCGGGGTGTGCAGCGCCGCCATGGCAGGCGCCGCCACCGGCAGCTCGCCCGCCGCACCTGCAGCAGCAGTGCCGGTGGTGCCTCCCAAGCTGCTGACGCTGGTCATCCCCCACATCGGTGGCCGCCTGCTGCTGGGCAAGAAGCTGCGAGGGTTTGGAGAAGGTGCGCTGCATTGCTGCCCACAGCACACGTGACCCTGCACCCGTCTCCTCTCCCGCCTAACTCCTTCTTGCTTTCGAGCTGCCGATCGATGGCCCAGTCGGATTGGCACCGCTGTGCGGCCTGCTTCCTGCCTGAGCAGGTTACTACAACGGATTTGGAGGGAAGGTGGAGCAGGGGGAAACAATAGAGGCGTCGGCCAAGAGAGAGGTGCGTCGGCTCCTGCGTGCAGGTGGGGCAGCCCGCCAGCGCCGGTCACCGGCTCCCTGCTCACCGCCCAGGGCGGCCCCCGCCCTGCCGCAGCTGCTGGAGGAGGCGGGCATCACAGCCACGTGCATGCAGCACTGCGGCCTGCTCACCTTTGTGTTTGACGACAACCCCCAGCCCTGGGAGGTGCACGGTGAGATGTTCGCTCATTTGAACTTCAGTTGAAATCATGCAATTCTTGTTTGTTTGACTGTGACTGTGCTGGTGGGCAGCTGCATTGCCCCGCCCGACACGTGCCTGCCTGCCTGCTGCTGGTATGCGTTGCCGAGTCGCGCCCCCCCCCCCCGCCCGCGCCTGCTGCCTGCCCGGGCCTTAGTCTTCCGCGTCACCGCGTTTGGCGGCGAGCCGGCGGCGTCGGACGAGATGGCGCCGCGGTACTTTGCGGAGGCCGAGGTACCGTACGAGCGCATGTGGGCTGACGACGTCCACTGGTACCCGCTGTTCCTGGCGGGCAAGCTGTTTGAGGGGACCTTCCACTTCCACAACACCCACACCCTGGTGGGGCACACCCTCACAGAGGTGCATTCTCTGTCATTGCCCGCCCAGCCCTTGCAATGATGGCGAGCCGTGCCAGGCCCCATTCACGCACAGCAACAATGAAGCACTGAGAATGTCGGGTTTGGTAGATCCTGTGATGCCAGCCTGGGGCCCAGGGGAGGGGGGAGGCGGGCGTGCCTTGCGGCGACGGCGGGCAGGCGGGCGGGACCTTGCGGCGGCGGGGTTGGTGCTGCTGGGCGCATGCCTGCTGCCCTTTCTGCGGCACCCGCCATTTCCAACTAATGAGTGGACGTCCCAGGTCCTGTTCGATCAAATCCTGCGCAAGAGCAGTTGCTGAAGTGGCCGGCCATGGCCGCACCACGGCCCCTTCCACCCTGGCCTCAGTAAGGCCCAGGTGGCCAGATGCATGCATGCCCGCTTGCGGCTCTCATACCCCACCCCCAGCACTCACAATGGGTTCATTCGACGCTCTGTGGGGCGCCCAAGGGGCTCACACAAGCAATTGGCAATTGCGGAGCCCTGTGCTCGCCTCTTCCACATCCCTCCCGCCCTCTCCCGTGGCCTACATACATTTCTTCGTGCCTTTATGGTGCCACCAGCGCCAATGGCGCGCACCTGAGCGTCCCAGCAAGGGGTGATGGTTGGCCCAGCCTCTTTCACCCTCTCTCCTTGCGTGCACGCTTCCCAAAATGTTACCAGGTGCGTACTGGGTGATGTGAAGTGAGCAGGCGCCCTGACAACGCCACATACTTGAAGCCTGGAATGCTTGCTGAGCCGCCAGCTCTGCAGGAGCCTCCCTAGCAGGTGTCTGCGCTTCAGCGAACGCTGAATTGTTGCCTCCGATGCGCAGGAGTGGCCGCCGCTACACCGCCGCCCCCACTGCCGCCTCTGTGCGGCGCTTCTTCTGCACCCGATGATGCGAGCCGTTGTTGCGGAGTGTGGTACCATTTCGATTACCAGGCACCGTGGGACCACGCATCTGCACGGACATGC